TGAAAATGTTTGGACAAGGAACCTCTTTGGATCTTCTATTGGATACCTTCTGCCTAGGGCAGAAGGGCTTTAAAAAATCTCTGCTGGCAGCATTGCAATACTTTCCATTAAGCATAAAAGGAAATAATTGTAACAACAGTAGGGTACTGACTGATAAATTTCTCAGTTAAAGAATAGCAGAAGCACATGCCCCATGAAAGAGGGAGGAACTGAATTGTTTTATATTAGAAGAATCTTTTCTGAGATAATAGGTGCATTTTTTTCCAAACCATATGGCAGATGCAGGAATTGTATCAGATTATTTAGCTCCTGGAGTGATTCAAGATTATTTGTAGAACCCTGATTTATTTCTTTGTAAAGGATTGTGCAATCTTGGCATGATCTTAATCTAGCAATAATAATTAATAAGAACTGAACACTTTGCTTCATTTTGTACCCATTGTTTTATCTATGTACTACTAAAACTCGTGTCTGTTTGTTTATAACCTTCAATAGGGCAATTCAATATTAAATAAAAATAACTCAAATGGACTAATTTTGCAGAATATTGGAAGCCATGACTCCTCTGGGAATGAAATTTGTGAAATTTGTGGCTGCTTCAATGCCATCATGCCTTTTGAATTAACTTCCCAAAAATTAATTGATTACGTGGTATAAGGGTATGGCCTCGGTAGGCTTTCTTTGCTGTCTTAAGTCGTAGGCTTTCTGAGGTACCCTTGCCTCTTCTGACTTTTGGACATCCGATTCTGGGCTTTGGGCACCAAGCTCCACATTTGTGTCAAGGTTGAGTGAAGGGTTCGAGTCTGCTTGCACATCAGAGACATCTCTCATGGCTGAAGAAGCTAAATTGGCAAAAGGTGAATTTTGGAAAAATTTAGCAGTTTTCTGTGCAATTTCCCCTTTTTTCCACTAGGATGCACTGCAAGCGGGTAGCTGAATTTAGGAGATGCCGTTGAAATTCACTACTTGACCACTGGGGTGCATTGCAAGCAGGTAGCTGAATTTAGGAGACGCCGTTGAATTTACAATACAAGAGCACACAACAGATACAAACCCAATGTAAACCACTTCAAATTTGATTGCAGAAACAAATGACGTCAGCAACAGAGTGATCAATGTCTGGAATGCATTACCTGACTCTGTTGTCACATCCTCAAACCTCCTTTAACCTCATACTATCCACTATTGACCTCACCCCATTCCTAAGAGGTCTACCAAGGGCGTGCATTGTGCCTACGATCCCTGTCCTATTGTCTCCATTTATTCGTACCTATTTCCTGTATTCTTATGTTTATACTTATACCTATTATCTTGTAAGCGATTGACAAATCAAATAAATAAATAAATAAGATGGGGGAGGGCAAATCTCTGTCCTCTTTCCTACCTTCCTTTGACCCCTGCACTAAATCAATTGGCATAAAGGCCTGACAGTTGAATACAGTTGAATTGGCTACTTTCAAATACAGTCTGAAATCCCCTTACAGCAGTGGACAAAGAGGAAAGCATGGGGAAGTGACTTGGATGCCTGCATGTGAGATAGGGCAGGCTGGGAGGCACCATCAGTTAAAGGTGAGCTCTTCTTGCCTGGAGGGTGCTTGCCTGGAGGGAAAGCACCCTTGGGTACACACAAGAATAGAGACAAGTGATGCAGTTTTCCTAATTGTCCATGGGTCCCTTTATACCCTCTCCTCTCAGCAAAATAACAGATCTGAAGATCAGTTGAGAAGGGGAGGAGAGATTTCTCATGCTTCTTAATAGCTTCTGGGAGTGTCAGTGGGAAAAGCAGCAGGAAACCAGAAATCACTCCCATTGCTACTGCTTTTATTTCATTTTCTTTCTCTGTTCAGGCAAGGAACTAACTCTGAAAGAGTAACCCATCAAATCACAAATTATCTAGTTTATTTAAAAAGCTTATTTTACCCAAGTACCAACTTTATAGTATAATTCTCTACAGAGGAAGTAATTCCTTTTGTGCTCAATAATGCTTATTTCCTTGTTAATAGTTTACATTTACAATATCAAACATTTCTATTCAAAAATCAGCCGCAATAAGTTCAGTGAAGTTTTCTTCCATTAACTGTGAGGAATTGCAAAAACATTTCAAGATAGAAGTGTCTGCTCAGTCAAGAACAAAAACTAAGCTACCAGTGAACTCTTTTATTACCAATTTACTATATCACATGACCTAAAATGGACACCTAACATCAAAAACGTCATCAAAAAAGCACAACAAAGAATGCTCTTTCTGTGCCAACTCAAAAAGCTCAAACTGCCCAAGGAGCTGCTGATACAGTTCTACAGAGGAACTATTATCTGCACCTCTATAACTGTCTGGTTTGGTTCTGCAACCCAACAAGGCAGACACAGACTTCAGAGGATAATTAAGACTGCAGAAAAAACAATTACTACCCACCTGCCTTTCAAATCTGCATACTGCATGAGTCAAAAAGAGGGTTGTGAAAATGGGTGTTGGTTCTTACCTGATACGCCCCTTCTCGGAGAGCCGCGAGGAGCATCCAGAGAGTGGGAGGTGCTTCTGAGTCCTCTTCTCACAGGCTGAGCTTCAATTGAGGAATGCTCCGCCCCCTCAGGTGGCTCCATGCAGCGTTCCCCAGTTTTTGCGAGGACGAGAAGGAAAGACTATGTGCTCATCCTAGCGACACTAGTGGATCCTTGGCTGAAACAAGTTCCCCCACCAGACGGAGAAATTAGGGTGGGGCTGGATGCTCCTCACGGCTCGCCGAGAAGGGGCGTATCAGGTAAGAACCAACGCCCATTCTCCTTCGAGCCACTCGGAGCATCCAGAGAGTGGGACATACCAAAGCTTGGCAGTCCTACGGGAAGGACTCTGTCTGGGCCGGAAGCCCCTCCGGGTCACTGATGACCCTCTGTAGGACTCGTCGGCCAAACGAGGCCTCCGCTGAGGCATATACGTCTATCTTGTAATGCCTAATGAAAGGAGACGGGGAGGCCCAGGTGGCCGGCCGGCAAATGTCAGCGATTGGAGCTTGGGTGGCCCAGGCCGCTGAAGTAGCTGCCCTAGTGGAATGAGCTATGATTCCACTGGGTGCGGGGAGGGATTGTGATAGGTAACATTTGGAGATAGTTGCCCTAATCCAGCGGCTGATGGTTGAGGGGGATACCTTGAGCCCCAATGACCTGGGCTGAAAGGAAAGGAAAAGGGATTCCGATCTTCTCAGAGGTTGGGTGCGCTTGATGTAAATGCGCAAGGCCCGTCTCACGTCTAAAGTGTGCCAAAGAACTTCCCTGTCCCTCGAGGGTCTGGGGCAAAAGTTTGGTAGGACCAATTCCTGGGACCTGTGGAAGGGTGAGTTGATCTTGGGCAGGAAAGTGGGGTCGGGACGGAAGACCACCCGGTCGGCGTGGAACACACAGAGGTCCTTCCTGACCAACAAGGCTGCGATCTCTGAAACTCGCCGTGCGGATGTAATGGCCACCAGAAAAACTACCTTAAACATTAAAAATTGAAGGGAGGACTCCCTTAGGGGTTCAAACAGGGGTCTTGTGAGCGAGACGAGGACCTTGTTGAGGTCCCAGGTAGGGTATCTGTGGACGGTCGGAGGGCACAGGTTGGTGGCACCCCTGAGGAAGGCCCTGACCCAAGGGTGGTGGGAGAGGGAACCGAAGCTGTCACAAGAGACAACAGTTGACAGGGCTGCGACTTGCCGCCTCAGGGTGTTAGGAGAAAGCCCCTTGAGCAGGCCCTCCTGGAGGAAATCCAGAACCTGGGCAAAAGAGGGGGAGAGGGGGTTGACTTGGGACTTATGACACCACTTGCAGAAGCCATTCCAAGTGGCATCATAAATCCGAGTGGTTGAGGGCTGTCTGGCAGCCAGGATGGTGTCAATTACCTTACTGGAGAACTTCTTTAAACGGTTCCGCTCAACCTCCAAACGGCTAACTGGAGCCATTGAGGGTCCAGATGAAGAAGGGGCCCCTGAGAAAGGGAGATCCTGTCCGGAGGGATTCTCCAGGGGGGGTGCCGCTGAGAGGTTGCGGAGATGCGCAAACCACGGGCGCCTGGGTCAATAGGGGGCTACCAGCAGCAGGTCCGCCTTCTCGAGAATGAGTTTCCGGATCACTCTGGGCACTAAGGCTGGGGGGGGAGGCGTACAGGAGCCCTGGGGGCCAGGGGCAGCGTAGCATGTTGTGGTTCTCCGACCCAGGAGACGGGTACCTGGAAAAGAACCTGGGAAGTTGCGCGTTGGACGGGGATGCAAAAAGGTCCACCACCGGTAGACCGAAGATTCTGGACGCCTCCCTGAACAGGGATGGGTGGAGGCGCCATTCTGCCTGGTCCACCGTGGCCCTGCTCAGCCAATCTGCCTGGATGTTGGAGACTCCAGAAATATGGTCTGCTCTTAACGAGAGGAGGTTGGACTCTGCCCAATGACAGAGACGTTCGGCCTCCCTCATCAACTGAATAGACTGGGTGCCCCCTTGCCTGTTGATATGAGCCTTGGCCGTGACGTTGTCCATGAGGATGAGGACATGACGTTTGTGCACCTGAGGGAGGAAGCTTCGTAGAGCCAGATGGATGGCTCGTCCTCGGGGATGTCCAGTAGGTTAGCAAAGTCCGGGTCGAGATTGAAGAATCTCTTATCCTGACTGGAAGGCACCAGGGGACCCTGGTGGAAGCCAGCTGCTTCGCCACAAGGTCTGAGAAAATGGGTGGGTCCGGAATGACCTCGGCCTCCACCACGGACTGCTTGAATATGGAGTCCTCTGGGGCCTCCAAAGTGGAGGGGGGTGGAGGGAGACTGAGGAAGTAGGCCAGAAACGTTTTTGGCTTTAAACAAAAGGGATTTAAACATGTGAGGCTTGAACAGACCCACGAGTGGGGGTTGGTCAGGGGAAAGGCCCTCATCCTCCGACATCTCCCCCTCGGTCAGTTCTCCCTCTAGGAGGGGCTCGCTGTAGCGGGAAGATCCCATCCAGGATTTTTCTTCCTCTTCCCTGGGATAGTCAAGGGCCCCTTCCTCCTCCTCCTGGTCCCTTTCCAGAAGAGGGCTATCCCTCTGTAAGAGTACCTGACCAATAGGAGGATCCGATCCTGGAAGGGACCTGATGGACAGAGACTCATGTCTGGGGGCTCTTGGGGAGGAGCCGGGTCTGGACATCTGTTGCAGCCCCTCCGCAATACCTTGGCGGATAGCCAGTTCCATCCAAGCTTTGATGTGAGCTGGAACCTCCATTGTGGAGGGATCCTCTTGGCGCAGACCAGCAGCCGTAGGCGTGAAGGTGGCTTCAGGAGTCCATCTGGTCGGTGGTCCCGGGGCCTGATGACCCTGAGGGGAGCTGCGCCTGGATTGGGAAAAAGGTCTAGAGGGGGGAGTTGAGTAGAAGTGGAGGCTGGAGGCACCTGTGGTGACTGCCTGGAACTCCTATCAAACTCCTTTTCCAAGGCCTTATGACGCCTTAAGGCGTCTCGCTGAGAGGCCTTGGAAGGTTCCGTAGCCTGCCTGCACAAGTGGTAAGACTTTGATTTAGCCTTCAAAGAAGGGCGTTTAGAGGAATTGTCATCTGCCATTTTAATAAATGAAAGTGTATAAGTTCACTAGAGGCGGTTGGCTCGCCTAGAATTCGGCCTACGACCAAGGCTGGGTGATCTCCAAGCTGGCCCGCACCCCCTTTTGGAATTTAGTATGAACTATGAAGCCAGAGGGAATTACTTGAAGACAGTCAAAGGATATAAATATACAAAAAGGTATTGATATATATGATATTATTATTATTATTATTATTAATAATAATAATATCTATATCTATATCTATCTATCTATCTATCTATCTATCTATATATATATATATTTATATAAAAATCTTTCTTATCTGATAGTAGATATGATTGAAGATTAATCACTAGATTCTTTCTTCTTTCCTTTTTTTTTTTTGATAAAAAAGGTTAATTAATTGGACTGTACCACTATGCAGCCGGAAAACAAAGGTTGGCTAAAGTAATGACCGAATTTGCCAAATGAACGCCTGAGGCCTGGAACAGAGAGGCTTAGCAGTAGACCTCCAGACGAAGACTGAAGGGGGTGGGGACTGCTGGACTTCACCCCAAGTGGAGCTGCGGGAAGCCAACAATGTGCCAGACCAGGTTGGTCAGAATGGCACCCTAAAATAGAGCTCGAGACCCAGGGGGTCAGAAGGGAGCAGAGTCAATCGCAGCAAGCAAGAATAAAGACAAAAAGGGCGCCCGACCATGAGGCGGCGCCAAGATGGAGGCCGCGAGCTGAGCTATCGTCGGGGCCTCTTGGGATGGAAGGGAGGGCTCCTCCGGCGTGCTCAGCGTGCCTAGAGGGCTGTAAGGAGGAATTTAGCCCTTCCCTTAACGTCGGCGTTCCGGTGGAGGGAAAACCAGCGTCGCCCTCGGGCGAAGATTTAACAAGCCGCTGAGGCGGCGCGGAGGCAGAGACTGAACTGGCAGTGGGGGGGGCGCCGAAACACTGCGATCCCGCCTGCTCAAGCCCCTAGGGGTGAGGGAAAAACCTCCCCCTGGATCAATACCCTTTGCACAGGGGCTAGGAAGCAAAGCAAACCTGATTTCTTATAGAAAGATGAAATGAGGAGAGAAGAAACCTGGATCAGCCAAGGAGCCTTCTGCAAAACAGCCTGCTTTCTCAGAGGCTGAGCAAAAACTGGGGAACGCTGCATGGAGCCACGTGAGGGGGCGGAGCATTCCTCAATTGAAGCTCAGCCTGTGAGAAGAGGACTCAGAAGCACCTCCCACTCTCTGGATGCTCCAAGCGGCTTGAGGGAGAATATTTACAGACCCCTCACATCCCAGACATAAACTGTTTCAACTCCTTCCCTCAAAAAGATGCTATAAAGCACTGCACAGAAGAACAACTAGATACAAGAACAGTTTTTTTCCTGAAAGCCATCACTCTGCTAAACAAATAATTCCCTCAACACTGTTCAACTATTACAAAGTCTGCACTACTATTACTGCTAATCTTCTCATCACTCCTTATCACCCATCCCCTCCCACTTGCGATTGTAGGACTGTAACTTTGTCGCTTGTACCCTTATGATTTATATTGACTGTTTCCTAGTATGATTTGATTGCTGATTGTATCCTATGACTATCATTAAGTGTTATATGTTATGATTCTTGATTCTTAATGAATGTATCTTTTCTTTTAAGTATACTGAGAGTATTTACACCAAGACAAATTCCTTGTGTGTCCAATCACACTTGGCCAATAAAGTATTCTATTCTATTCTATTCTATTCTATTCTATTCTATTCTATTCTA